CAGTGGCGTGCACAGGGTTTTAGAACAGGGTAGGCAACATAATATTGTATTATGATTAAACTCATCGTAAATACATAACATAATTCAACTTATGAGGTTTTTAATCTTTCGTCAATTCTTTGTAACAGTGCCATCTCTCGTTGTTTTCGTGAAGTATTACATCAACTTATTGATTACTCTAACAACTTAAAAACATTAATATTCTATTTTTCTCTTTAGATTTGTAAAACTAATCTGCATAATTACCTACTCGAGGTGCTGTATAACGATTAATCTAATTTATGTTATCAATTCAGTAGCAGTAACGAATTGTTCATTCTAAAAATTGTACTGAACTGGCGGCCTGTCCAGCCTTCTCACGTTTAATACAAGAATATTACGAATTCTTTACTCTTTTAATTTAATTCTTCGAATTAATAAGTTTGGTTCATCTATTCAAGAGATATTATGATTTTAAGAACTTGGGTATGACTAATAGAAAAATCGAACCGAGCGCGGCCGGCTGCGGCCGAGCCGAGTAAGCGGTAGTACATTTTTTAGTATTATTAAACATTCATTTACCTAGCTTATTCTTCTTCATTTCATTTTATAATTAGTACATAACATATTACTTAAAGCTTCGTTATTTTTACTGACTGAGTTGCCGCGACGGGAAGCTCCGCGTAGGTACCTACTTATGTTACATAACCTAATCACATTAAAATAAAGTAACTTTCATAGAACTTACCAAGACAAGACTATCAGAAGAAAAACTCACACACAATCTAATCACTAAGCGATGGTCTGCGATAGTTTATAATTCTTTACCAACTTTTGTCAATACAAACTTCACAGTTCTTCGTATAACTTTGCAAAATCAATTAACAAATAAACAAACACAGTAATAAAATGTACTTATATAAATAGACAATTTTATACCGTTTACTACAAATTATTTGCGTAGAATTACTAATCGTATTCTAAATCAAATAACAAAATTATCCGAAAATCCACGCATCGCACGTAAACAAAAACAAAAAAATTGTCACGCGCGAGCGGCGTGAAGTTCGCTGCGAGGCGACCAATGAGTAAACCAAGACACGGAACGTGATTGGTCGGCACGCGGCGAACTCAATCACGAGTCGTCAGGCCGTGCCTGCAGGCAAGCTTCGCGACGATAAAATAAACGCGTCTGTGCACTACGCACACAATGACGTTCACCACTACACGCTTAAATTTATGAATGGTTTGCAGGCGACGGAACCGCGTGCCTGCCTCGCGCGTTAATGTTTACAGCTATATACGGTACGCCTGGCGAAATGCAACACGTATCGCGCGCCATCATTGTTGCTATACTATTTATTTTAGGCGTTCACTAATTTTCTTATAATTATTATTTTATTATTCTGTAGTAAAATTAAAATGTTTATATCTTTTATTACGTAGTGTTATTCACGGTATTTGTAAGGTAGGCAAAGCCTTTTTGCCTATATGGACTGCACGCCACTGCTTGTCACTACATCATCTTTCAATCCAGACCTTTCTCTAATAACACTATTTTTCACTCGATCACTCAATTTTAGTCCTATATTTCAATATTTAATTGGACTGAAAAATCTAAATAACTTATTTTTGACCCAGGAAACTACCCTATTCTCTAGGTACATAGTTTTGTTGGTTCGACTGCCATTGTGATTTACGACAAAATATGAGTAGTATGTCGTGGTGACCCGGAGGTTTAAGATTAAGACGCCCGCTTTTCATGCATGAGGGTGCGGGTTCGCAACCTACCAACGGCAATTATCAATGTTACTTTTTCCGAGTTATATGTTCTTTCTAAGATTATCTATCTAGACACCACTGAAAGAAAAACATCGTGAGGAAACCTGGGCTTATAATTTCTAATTATAAGTTTGACATCGCCAACACGCATTGAGCAGGCGTGGTGATTAATGCTCAAACCTTCTGAAAACCATATAAGAAGAGGCTTTGCTCAGCAGTGGGCATTTATAGACTGTTGATGATTATTATTTTTTTTTAATCTCATTTATTGTAAGGGATTTTTGTACACATTTTGTGACGATGTCAATCCCATCGTGCTTCTACATAACGAATGTATTTACAACTTAAACAAAATAACTTAGTCTACTTATCTATCTAATATAAAGGAATATATGTATAATTTTCGCAGCTTCAGATGTAAGCTTACCTAAAATACCATTAAACATTCCAACATCCATTACTGTTGATGATGATACTTACTTTTCTCCTTGAGCTTGAGCAGGTTGATCTGAGTGAGTATGGCGATGAACGCGCCGCCGTCGTAGCGCAGGTCGGCGTCCAGCCACACGCCCTGCGCGTCGCACGCCGGCGGCAGTACGCGCTCCACCATGGGACACGCGCCTGACAGGGACAGCTCCGTCACTACTAGCGGGGACATGAACGATGGCAGCTGGGGAACAAGGCATCACTATGTGTAAGCTAAAGTCGTATTATGCCAAAGTAGGTAGTATTTTTTGTAGTAGGTAGTATTTTTTGTAGTAGGTTTTTCGAGTAACCCCCGAAAGTTTTTGGGTAACTCTCCAATGTGTTTGAGGACACTCGATTGTATTCGAGTAACTCTCGAGTGTGTTCGAGGATGCTTGATAGTTTTCGAGTAACTCTCGAAAGCGACCGAGGACGCTCGATAGTTTTCGAGGACGCTCGACTGATTTCGAGTAACTCTCGAAAGTGTTCGAGGAACTCTCGATTGTTTTCGAGGACGCTCAATGGTTTTCGAGGACTCTCGATTGTTTTCGAGGACGCTCGATAGATTTCGAGAAACTCGAAAGTAATCGAGGAACTCTCGATTGTTTTCGAGGACGCTCAATGGTTTTCGAGGACTCTCGATTGTTTTCGAGGACGCTCGATAGATTTCGAGAAACTCGAAAGTAATCGAGGAACTCTCGATTGTTTTCGAGGACGCTCGATTGTTTTCGAGGACGCTCGACTGATTTCGAATTACTCTCGAAAGTGATCGAGGACGCTCGATAGATTTCGAGTAACTCTCGAAAGCGATCGAGGACGCTCGACAGTTTTCGAGGACGCTCGACTGATTTCGAGTAACTCTCGAAAGTGATCGAGGACTCTCGATTGTTTTCGAGGACGCTCGACTGATTTCGAGTAACTCTCGATTGTATTCGAGGACGCTCGATAGATTTCGAGGACTCTCGAAAGTGATCGAGGATGCTCGATAGTTTTCGAGGACGCTCGACTGATTTCGTTTAACACTCGAAAGTGATCGAGGACGCTCGATAGATTTCGAGGACTCTCGACTGATTTCGAGTAACTCTCGAAAGTTATCGAGGACGCTCGATAGATTTCGAGGACTCTCGAAAGTGATCGAGGATGCTCGATAGTTTTCGAGGACGCTCGACTGATTTCGAGTAACTCTCGAAAGTGATCGAGGACGCTCGATAGATTTCGAGGACTCTCGAAAGTGATCGAGGATGCTCGATAGTTTTCGAGGACGCTCGACTGATTTCGAGTAACTCTCGAAAATGATCGAGGACGCTCGATAGATTTCGAGTAACTCGCGAAAGTGATCGAGGATGCTCGATGGTTTTCGAGGACGCTTGATTGTTTTCAAGGACACTCGATTGATTTCGAGTAGCTCTCGAAAGTGATCGAGGACGCTCGATAGATTTCGAGGACTCTCGAAAGTAATCGAGGACGTTCGACTGATTTCGAGTAACTCTCGAAAGTGATCGAGGACGCTCGTAGATTTTGAGGACTCTCGAAAGTGATCGAGGAACTCTCGATCGTTTTCGAGGAAACTCGATAGATTTCGAGTAACTTTCGAAAGTGATCGAGGACGCTCGATAGTTTTCGAGGACGCTCGATAGTTTTCTAAGAACTCTCGATAGTGATCGAAGATGCTCGATACTTTTCGAGGACGCTCGATAGTTTTCGAGGAACTCTCGAAAGTGATCGAGAACGCTAGATTGTTTTCGAGTACGCTTTCGAGTGACTCTCGAAAGTGATAGAGGACACTCGATAGTTTTCGAGTATTTCTCGAATGTGTTCAAGGACGCTCGATAGTCTTCGAGTAACTATGCATGTATTGCAAAGATATAGGGATTTTATTCACCAAAACCGAAAAAGTTGATTATCTCAGAAACTAGCCACTTCCAAGATTGTCACTCTTGACATTAACTCACGTCAACTGCAATATTTATTGCAATTACTAATAAATAATAGAAATTAAATGAAATCGCTCGAAGACGGTACAATCTAAAAGAGGTCTTCACTTAGCAGTGACTGGACATAGGTTTAAAAAGAACAAGTGTAAAAATCAGTTTACCTTTAGAGTATTAAGTTTCCTCTGTATCTTGTCCTGCAGTTTGCTGATCATTTCTGGATCCCTCATGAGGTCGTACATGATCCGAGCTAATATTGTGTTCACCCACGTCACTTCCGCCGGAAGCATGCGGCATGTGCACTCTATCGTACTTTTGCTCTGTGGTAAAAATAAAATTCAATGCCATCCGGGTTGAAATAAATATATTTTTTAAATAAAGGTAATCTGGAGTACTGTCAACCACTAAAATCGAGGTATATAAGTAGATTTTCGATTTAATATATTTGGCACATCGAATATTAATAACAAAATATAACAAAACAAAAAAACTAAATAACTAATCATTCCTACTTACAATAAAATCTCAACACGATACTACAATGAACTATCCGTTCTCTAACTAGTACACTTAACAAAAAACCAACTGATAACAAAAAAAAACTAAATAAAACTCACGTTTAACTAAAAAAAATTAAAATAAGAATAAAACAAACATCTTTTCTCTTCTTCTTATTCTTGGACCGTTCTTTCGGGGTCGGCTCTATTTGACACATCACCGCCGCTTCTGACGTTTGTTTCAACGTTATCTCATGACTCTGTTTTACATGTCAGTAGGATTTTAGACCTTAAAGACTTTGGATAGCGAAGTTGAAGTAAAATATTGCCTTGGCTGACTTAAATACTTTAACACGTTAGTAAAATTTTAAACCTTAAAGACTTTGAATAGCGAAGCTGAAGTAAAATATTGCCTTGGCTGACTAAAATACTTTAATAAAAATGTAAGACTTCTCATGGTTGTCTCACGTAGCAATGTTGTTAGGATTTTAGAATTTATAGACTTAAAAAAGCTAATCTGAGCTAAAATACTCAAGCTTGGTGTGTGAAATACAATATTAATAGGATTTCAGACCTTACAGACTTCAAAAATACACTTGGCCGATGTAAAATAATATGCTCTTGGCTGACTTGAAATGTAACTCGACATGTTATGTGGTTATAGCATTGACATTAATAGCCTGGGATTCTAGACCTTGCTGGCATAAAATCATAGTGTGAACAAAAATATTCCCTTATCTGACTTCAAATACTGCTGCCACTTGGCGTGTTAAACTTAATAAAACTCTATAGCTAGAGAAATAAAGTTTAAGTTTACCTGAATGATTTTCACGAGGTAAGGCCAAAAAGTCTTATCATAGTCTGATTCGTATGAGATAGGCTGCGCCATCGACGTGATTGTCACACCGCCTCCTTCTGAGAACGAGTCTGGAGTTTTGCTCTGAAATACAAGAAGTTTTGTTACAGATTTATACCGCCCGAATACTGAAAGGCAAATTACTAACTTAACTAAATTTCAAGTTGTATTTAAATGACGTGCCATCTCTGTCATTTTACAAACAATATGTAAGTGACAGAACTACAGGGTGACTTGTAACTCGACGTATTCCTCTCGGGAGGTGATAGTACAACAAATTTCCTACTAACTGAGCCCTGAGATCCCTGGTCCGCAAGTAAGTGGTTTCAGAGATATCCAAACAAATCAAACCAATAGTTTTTTATTTATTAATATTTTTGTAGTTTGTTTTTTGACCAAAACGGAAAATGTTGAATATCCCGGAAACTAGCCACTTTCAGACTAGCGACCTCAGGGCAAATTTTGTAGGAAATTAGTTGTATTATTACCCGTCTAAATATGTCTTTTTCATTATATCCACCCAAAGGTTTAGGTTTAAGTCTGGGAGAGCCATGCTTCGGCACGAATGGGCCGGCTCGACCGGAGTGATATCATTTTTTTTTTGCACTGTATTTTATTGTATTGTGATTGTGCCTGGTGTTGTACCGAATAAATTATTTTTCTTTCTTTCTTTCTTTCTGATGTAAAATGTGTATACTTACAGAAGATTTTGCGAAAGCAACAGTTTCTTTCTCAGTGAGTTTGTAGACAGCCAGCTCGATGTTATCCTTACTCTCTGCAGACTCGCTGCCCGTCTTGTCCTCAGCCATCGACGTCTCCGTAGAATTCGCGTTGGCTTCTTTTATAGCCAGTACTAAGCGACGATACCTAAGGGGTAGGAGAAAAGTGTTACAAGTCTCTAAGAAATACACGGCTTATTAACTAATGGAGAGAAGTTGTAACCGTAGCCTTCGTACGCGTCGCGTTCCGCGCGCGCTTCAAAGAGCCATCAGACCACCACAGATGGGGCCCAATACGGCCGATGCCAATTCGGAGTCGCAGAGAACCTAAAAAGTAACCGGGGCTCCAGCTCGACGTGCAGGAGAAGGAACGGGGTGGTTTTTAGTCAGTAAGAGTCTGACACTCCCTCCCGCCTCACCCAGGCGGGAGCAGTCATTCGATGATTTTCCCCCCTTAAAAAAAAA